TACACAAGTATTGGGGCAGGAGGTACTCCGGGCAAAGCTTCCGTAGTATCGAGCATGGGTCCGCTTCGTGTGCGCCATCCCGCGCAAGATCGTGCTACAGAATTGAGCAAAGATGCCATGCCTGAAGTACGTATTTCCTCATCCTCTTTATCTTCATCTTCTCCTCTATCGCAGCCTGTGCCCGAACAACACTCTCGGCCACTACGCGTTCAAGAACTTGGCGTTGAGGGGGCCTCCGGAAAGCATGGGGTGGGTAATGGCACCAATGCCAGGCATTTTGGCGCCGCGCGCGTTAAGGCAGCACGTCGTTGCATTTCACTTCGCAAACAATCGTTTGGCAGCTGGAACGTCGAAGGCTTAGGCAAATATATGTCCAAGCTGCCAGAGCTGGAGTACTACATGGGCCATTGCAACATCGCTGTACTGTGCGTGCAAGAAACCGGAGTCACCACGCACGCTGAGACGTTCTTCAACGACTATATGCTTATCTTGTGTGGCACAACAAAACCGCAAGATGATGGGGGATTTTACTCCGGAGTCGGCTTTATGGTTGCGCCATGGGCCATCCAGTCAGTTTTTCATCTACAAGCTGATTTCGGACAGGCTTGCAATCGTGAAACTTAAGGTTCGGGGTGGCGTGCTAAACATCACATCTGCTTACGCTCCTCATGGAGGTTACGATTGCGAAGACCGGCGCAACTTCGTCGACCAGCTTGCAGAAATCTGCCCGGCGCCGAACGAACGTGTCGGCAGCGTTATCCTTGGGGGCGTCAATGCTCGGCTTTATGATCGCGAACCCGGCGACGAGGACAACGTGGGCGACCATGATTTTCGAAGCGCGTGGCACAAACGCACAAAACATCTGAATGTGGGGATCTTCTTCTGGAAGCTCGCAGAGCAGCGAGGGGCGCTTTCGCCAGGGCATTTTTCGAGCACCCCCTGGAGGAGCTGGTGACGTACTTTGGGCCAGAAATCGACAAAACGAGCCCTGTGGGAGAGGGCTTTGCTCAAATCGGTCATTGTCTCACGGCCCACAATGCAATCAGTGATATATTCGATATTCAGGCAGACCGTGCAAGCTCATCGGCATCGCTGCATTTTCTTTTACGTATGCTGATCGAGCTGGAGGTCGACAGAGTGCCCAACACTCGGTCAAAGAAGAAGTATTGCAAACATATGTTGGCCAATGACAAACGCATGGCTGACGCGTATAATTGCCCGTTCTGCGAAGCCACTGCCGCGGCCGCGGATGCGCCGAATTTGGACGCGCATGCCAAAATCATCAAAAACGCAATGGAATTCGCGGCTGAAATCTGTCAACCAACAGGGGGGGGACCGCGGCGACCATGGATCTCTACAGCCACGCTTGGTCTTCTGAACCTACGAGATCACGAACAAAAGCATGGCAATCTGGTGGAAGAGACGATCTTGCACAAGCGCATCAAAGCGTCGGTCCAGAAAGATAAGCGTGATTGGTTGGATGCGCAATTGGCCAGGGGCCACTGGGCAGCAGCGCGCGCATTGCACAAGAAAGTACCGAGACGACCAATGCAAATTCAAGACGAACGTGGACAACTAGTGGAAAACATAAAGCGGGCTGACACTCTGGCGGATTACTTCGAACAAATGCAATGGAAAGTCACTTGCGCTACCCTGGTACCCAGTGGGCGCGACAGCATGGGAACCGCGCTGCCAATTCACGCCGGCACCGTCGGCATGCAGGATCTTCAGAGTGCATTGCGGGCTTTGTCTACAGGGGGAGCTGCAGGCGTAGACGATGCGCCCCCAGAGCTTTGGAAAGCGTTGGCGCGCTCTCCTGAAGCACGTGGAGAATTGTTGATCTTCTTCCAGAGGTGTTGGGATGGAGAAAGATATGCCAAACGAGTGGTGTGCACCTATCATTGCACTATTACATAAAAATGGCGACGCTAGCTGAGCAGAGAACTACAGGCCTATTTCGTTATTAACAGTTGGATACAAACTTCTTATTTGGACGCTGCAAAAGCGGATTCAAAATGGGGGCGCCGAGAAATGAATACGATCAAGCCAATTTGGTTTTCGCCCTGGTAGAGGCGCAGCCCGGGCCATTAGCATCGCCCGGAGGATGTTCGAAGCAGCGCAAGCAGCTCAGGCACCAGGTTTGATTACAGTATTGTTGGATTGGTCGAAGGCTTTTGATCGAGTAAAACATGATGCACTCTTGGGCGCTCTTCGCAGGTTTGGCTTTCCGGTGGACGTGTTGGGCATGATCGCGGCGATCTATAAGTTCAGACATTTCGCATCGAAAGCCAACGGGAACAAGCCAACGGAAACAGGCAGCAGGAATCGCCCAAGGCTGCCCGCTTTCGCCATGCCTTTTCATCATTGTGCAGAGCGTGATGTCTTTCGACATCGCTGGGCGCATGGACGGCCTCCACGCTGACATCCGGGAGCCGGAGTACCTGGTATGTCGTGACCTCGTTTTGCGCGGACGACACGATGCTTCTCAGCAGCGATTCTGGGAAATTGCAGACATTGCTCGACGCCGTGATCGACGAAGGCAAGAGATACGGTCTGGAATTCAATTGGGACAAAACGATTTTCATGAGCGTGCACAATGACGGCGTGATTCTGTCCCCCGCAGGTGCCCCACTCAAAGCGGTGGAGCAAGCAGTGTATCTTGGAGGCCTATTAAACGTTACATGTATAGCAAAGCCTGAAGTGACCAGGAGACTTGGTGAAGCCACGGCTGCATTTAAGAATCTGTTTATGTGTTGGTCGCACGCCAACATTAGTCGCGCCAGGAAAATCGATTTGTACAAAGCTATTGTTTTAGCGAAATTGCTATGCAATTTGGAAACGCTTTGGGTGCTGCAGGCAGACAGAGATCGTTTAGACAGCTTTCACGCGCAATGTTTAAGACGAGTTCTGAGACTTCCGAGCGCATATGTTTCACGAGTGTCCAATAGAGATGTTCTGGAGCGGGCGGGAGAACTCCCCTTGAGTTCCACACTTCGCGGGCGCCAAACGGCAATGTACAAGAAAATCGCGGCGCTGCCTGGAGACAATCCTCCTAGTCTTTTAACTTGCCAACCCGGCACCGACCTGCCCAGAAGATGGGCGCATCGACGACGCAGAGGGAGGCCTAAACAGCAATGGGCCCCTTGCGTACATGCGGTTCTGTCAGACATGTAAGTGTGACTGCTCTGTTCCCCCCCTCCTCTCCCTCCTTGTCCTCCCCCTCCTCAAATCCCCTCCCTTCCTCTCGGCTTACAGAATTGGCGTTCTGCTTCACAGTCGGGGGGCGTTCCGCTTTTTCTGCTTCACAGTCGGGTGTTCTGTCTTTCGCTTGCGCCGTAGCCGAAGGGATGCCAATTGTGCACTCTTCTGCCCGCGCGCCTTGCCGGAAACCCGGCTCAGTGGCGGCAGTGGTGCCCAAGCGCCGTGTCACAGGCTGGCGCATATCTGTATTGCGCTGTAACTGTTTATCTGCCAATGCGCCCTTGGAGCGCGGGGCTTGACTGACTGACTGACGTTCGTTCGTTTTTTTCTAGCCCTATCCCTCCCCCCCCGAGCCCTGGCTCCCCTGAACCATCTCCCCGTGGGAGCCCCTCGGACCCCCCCCCCCTCCCCACCTCCCCCCCGTCTCCCCGCCTGGGATGTGGGCCCTGTTGCTGGGTCCCGAGGGGCGATGTCTTGCCCCCTCTTCCCCCCTCCTCCTCCTCCACCTCCTCCTCCTCCCCCTTCTTATTTGTGCAAGAGCCATGGCACACGTGCCACTTGTTTTCGTTGTTCGTCGTCCATGGTCTGGTCCTGGCCCTGGACCCAACCTCCCCACCTGGTCCTGGCCCCAGCCCCCCTCGCCCCGCTGGCCCTGGCCCTGGACCCACCCTCCCCCCCCCAGCCCTGACCCCAGTCCCCCTCGCCCTGGACCCTTTATTTTCGTTCGTTGTCGTCCCTGTGGTCCTGGCCCTGGACCCTGCCTCCTCCCCTGGCCCTGGCCCCACCCCCCCTCGCCCTGGACCCTTTGTTTTCGTTCGTCGTCGTCCCTGGTCGGTCCTGGCCCTGGACCCAGCCTCCTCCCCTGGCCCTGGCCCCAGCCCCCCTCGCCACGCTGGCCGTGGCCCTGGCCCTGGCCCTGGACCCAGCCTCCCCCTCCCTGGCCCTGGCCCCCCCAGTCCCCCTCGCCCTGGACCCTTTATTTTCGTTCGTCGTCGTCCCTCTGGTCCTGGCCCTGGACCCTGCCTCCTCCCCTGGCCCTGGCCCCACCCCCCCTCGCCCTGGACCCTTTGTTTTCGTTCGTCGTCGCCCCTCTGGTCCTAGACCCAGCCTCCTCCCCCGGCCCTGGCCCCAGCCCCCCTCGCCGTGGCGTCGTCGTCCTTCTGGCTCCTGGCCCCAGCCCCCCTCGCCACGCTGGCCGTGGCCGTGGACCCAGCCTCCCCCCCCCCCCGGCCCTGGCCCCAGTCCCCCTCGCCCTGGACCGTTTATTCTTCTGCACAGCTGTACTAGAGCTCGGACCTCTTTATTTTCGTTCGTCGTCGTCGTTCGTTCGTTCGTCGTTCGTCCCCCCCCCCGCACGGCCACAGAAGTAAACTCCTGGAGGAAGGAGGCGAAAGCCTCCTGTCTCTCGCAGCTCCTTGGTGCACGAGCCAGGGCACGCGTGCCACTTGTTTCCTTCTGTCTATGCTGTATGTCAGTGCGATCTTGAGGCCGGCGCAGGCGCCGTTCCTGTTCGGCGGCCATTTGTGAGGCTCAGAGTCGAAGTCTAATCTCTCCCAGATCAAACCTTTTGTGCTTATGTACGCGCTTTCGTAGTCGGCTGTCTGGCATATATATCAGCGACCCATAATGGCATGCTCTTCTTCAGCCCTGGTTGAACCAAGACCTCCCTCCCCCCTCCTCCCCTTCTCCCCTCCTCCCCTCCTCCGTTTCTGCCCTCCTCCCTTCCTTCCTCCCTTCCTCATCCCGTCCCCCTCCCTCCTCCCCCTCCCCTTCTCCCACGCGGCCGCTGTGCCGGGCAGGACGAGATGCGGGACCTCTTCGCAAGGGTCGGCAACGTGACGTCCGTCCGCGTCGTCCTCGACAGGGACCGCCGCGGTGGGGCCCGCCTGCGGCGAGACGCGTTCGGCGGAGGGAGGTGGCGCGACGCGAGGCCTCACAGTGCACCGGCCCCTCTCGTCCCCATCCCCGGCAGGGGAGCAGGTTCGAGATTCAGGTCCGAGGTTGTCGATCGTCCTCGTCGTTTCCTGACAGTTTTCCAGCCTCGGGATGCGTTCCAGCGGGTACGCCTCGCCGAGGGCTCTCCGGGGGTCCCCGGATCTTCGCGAACGGCCGCCAGAGAGCCGAGTTATGACCCGAGAGCCAGGGGCAACGCTAGAAGGGGGGTACTCCAGATTTCGTAATAAAAGGGAGGGGGTCACAACCCCCCCAGACAATCCATGAAAGGGCGGCCCTTTGCCCAGACCCCCCCGAACCCTCCAAGACAGCTCAAATCAGACCCCCCCCCCCGAATGTGACCCCCCCCCCACTTTGTTATTGAATCCGGAGTATCTGGAGTAGGCTCAGGAGGGGGGGGACGCAATCGGAGGGGGCGGCCTAATCGTGTATCACCCATGCGACGGCGTGTGTCCCGATCCCCACCCGCCCGGGAGCCCGTGGATTCGCTGCGGGGGCCTGCCGTCGATCTCTCGCCGGTGTGTCGTCGCCGATTCCAGCTCGACGGCTGTCCCCCTGTGGCGTCCCCCCTCGTCGGTTCTGTCTTCCAGGGGTCGGCGAGGGCGTCGAGCAGAGCGATGATCTGGCGGCCTCGTCCCCTGCGGGCCTCGGAGGGAGGGGGAGGAGGGAGGAAGGGAGGAGGGAGGAGGGAGGCGGAGGAGGGAGGAGGGGAGGTCTTCCTCAGCCTTTGTGGAGTGGGAGTTGGCTTGGGCGGCGGCGGGGCGTGGTGAGCAAGGAGAGGGGAGGGGGAGGAGGGGGAGGGGGAGGGGGAGGGGGGGGGGGAGGGAGGGGAGGGGGAGGAGGGGGAGGGGGAGGGAGGAGGGAGGAGGAGGAGGAGGGGAGGAGGAGGAGGAGGAGGAGAGGAGGGGGAGGAGGAGGAGGATGAAAGGAGGAGGAGGAGGAGGGGAGGAGGAGGAGGAGGAATGGGAGGAGGAGGAGGGGGAGGAGGCAAGCTGGGTGCGCTCGCGTCATATCTGACATCCTGCTCCTCCCTCCCATCCCTTACCATGCCGCAGGTCCCCGCTCTACTCGTACAGTCGGATGTCGAGCAGGGCAGTGATCCCGAAAGGGTACGCGATGCATTGTAGAGCACGGCATGGCATGGCGCAGAAGAGCACCGCGAAGCGTAGTATCAACCTAGCATCGCATTGCATGCCGTGGCATGGCACGGGAAATGACGCCATCACTGCAGCGGGAGCACGAGTCGAAACGAGCGGAAGCGCGGAAATGAGGCCAGCGCTGCAGCGGGAGCACGATTCGGAACGAGCGGAAGCACGCCAGAATCGGCCCGGGAGGCTTCCCGGGCGCCAGAAGCAGAAACTCAGCATTTTCAAACGGAGGGGAGGAGGGGAGGTGGAGGGGAGGTGAGGGAGAAGTGAGAAGCAAACAATGATGAAGGGGATCCTGATTACTCGTGCTTTTGGGTGATGATTCTCGACATCTTCCACCACGCACACATGGCCTGGCAGCAGCAACATCTTCCAAGGACAGGATCTGGCGTTTGTCTTGTGTTCGACTGCTATTCGAAAGGATGCTTACCAATGGCGACGTTGCTTTCGTTGTGTCGGTAATCGCAGGACACGAAGCAGCCCAAGGGTTACGCCTTCATCGATTACGGCGACAGCGAAGGTGCTCAGGCGGCAATAGAAAAGCTCAACAACGTCGAGTACAACGGATGGGCAGGGGGATCAATAGGAGGCCTGCTTGCGCTACTCCTGCTCGGCATTCCCAGCAGATTTGTATTTCTCGCCCCTTTCTCTCTTTTCCAGGCGTTGTCGTTGTCGCCACCGTCGACATTGTCGTCGTCGTCGTCGTCGTCGTCTTCGTCGTTGTCGTCGTCATCGTCGTCGTCGTCGTCCAAAGTGAGCTTGAGGCTGTCTTGACCAAGTGGCCTTGCTGTATTTCGTGGGGAAGGGACTCGCAGTTCATCCTGGGTGTGCCATTGTGTTTGTTTTGCTTCATGTTTCCCGTCTCGGGGCAATCTTGGGCCGGCTTGGGGCCGCCGTCTCGGATGCGATCTTGGACATCTTGGGGCTCTCTTGGCGCACCCTTGGGGTCCTCTTGGGCCGTCTGGGGGCGATCTCGGGGGCCTCTGGGGCCGTCTTGGATGCTCTGAAGACCGAAATCACGACGACCCGAACCACGGGGAAGCACGTCTGGGTTTTCGGTGAGTTTGGCCTTTTGGGCCAGCCCCATGGGGCCCCCAAGGACAGCCCAGTAGACCCTGAAAAGAACCTCTTGGACCCTCTTGGGGCCATCTTGGCCGTCTTGGCAGCGCCTCGTGACAATCTCGAAGCCCATCTTTGGCCGTCTTGGGGATTGTTTTCCGATTCGCTGTTCTGCGGATCAGTGCGGGCCCTCCCCCCTCCTTCCCCCCCACATGGAGTACAGTCGGGGCGCTGAGGACGGAACCCTTTTCGTTGGGGAGGGGCTCGGTGTTCCTTAGTTGTTTTGTAGTTCGCCTTTGGTTTTGCTTATGGTTTCGATGGGAAATCGAAGTTTAACTTATGGGAAAAAGGGGCCTCGTTCCTTATTTATCGTTCCTTAAGTCAACGCCCCGACTGCAGATCTTGGCTGTTTCTGGCGCCTGTTTCGAGCAGGGGGGAGTCTCCCCCATAAAATGGACGCCCTGCTGCAAGCGGTCGCGTTCCGCAGAGGTCCAGGGCCGGACGGCCCCCCCCTCCCCCCCTTCAGCCCGACGTCGAAGCGCCGAATAAGAGAAGGGGCGCTGAGGAAGGAACCCTTTTCGTTGGGGAGGGGCTCGGTGTTCCTTAGTTGTTTTGCAGTTCGCCTTTGTTTTTGCTCAGGGCTTCGATGGGAAATCGAGGTTAAACTTATGGGAAACAGAGGCCTCGTTCTTTATTTAGGGTTCCTTAGGTCAACGGCCCTTCTGGAAGAGAACGTTCACTGGGCCGTCTTGAGCGCCCTCCCAGAGCCATCTCGGACAGGCGAGCCCACGAGGTGGGCCGGTCTTGCGGGGCCGGCGGCCTGGGCCCGCGGCCACAGGGAAGCCTCTGTGGCACAGCGAGGCCCTCCCGTGGCAGGCTGCGGTGGCGGCGTTGTCGAAGGCGTCCGCGGCGAACCGCCGCCGCTCCCGGCCCTGGGGAACGCCCAGGACTACGCGGCTGAGCGTTGAGCCAAAGGCTGGCCAAGCTGTCGAGCTGCGTGCTCCCCTGGCCGTTGTGGCAGCCCTCTGGGGAACACTCGGGGGAGGAAGAGGTCAAGGAGAAGGAGGAGCACCAGGATAACCATACGTAAACCCAGCATGCAGCGACGATGCTACCATACAGTCAACCCGCATAATAAGGATGGGCAACATTCCCAAGAGTAGTTACCCTTGCATCCTTGCCTCTTCGGTCCATCCTTGGCCACTTTCGTTGGCCGCGCCCCGCTCGAAAAGCTTCGAAATGGGCTCCCAAGGCCCTTGCATCCTTATCGCGCATCCTTGCTACACGGATTGACTGCAGGCCCTCCTGTCCAGAGTCCCCTCCTCATGAGCTCTTGAGAGCCTTCCCTCGCACTGCAGGAGGCGCCCCCCCCTTGAAAGACGAGCACCGCAAGAGTCAGAAGGGGAAAAAACACACAAACACAATGAATCGTCGATTCCCAGGCAAATGGGAAAATATGGGAAGTGGGTTGGAAGACAAAAACCGAGAAAATGATGGAAAATATGGGGAACATGTTTATTTGTGTGTATTTGTTTGTGTGTCCTGGGGCCCCTTCAAAGAGGGCCTGCCTCATTCAGGCGAGAGCCCTCTTTTGAGACAGCATGACAAGGCAGGAGGCAGCGCCTCCAGCGCCCGCGCGCCAGGGCTCGGGAGGCTCCCTCCCCCCTCCTCCCTCCTCCCTCCTCCCTCCTTACCCTCCTCCCTCCTGCCTCCTCCTTCCCTCCTTCCCTCCTCCCACCCTCCTCCCTCCCTCCCCCCCCCTCATCCCTCACTCCTCCTCCTCGCTCCTCCTCCTCCTCCTCGCCCACCATCCTCCTCCTCCTCTCCTCCTCCTTCCTCCTCCTCCTCCTCTCCTCCGCGATGATCTCCTCGCCCCTTCTCTCTCCCGGGCTCCCTCTCCTCGGTCGGGCGGCTGAGCCCGCCCCCCTGTCGGGGCGCCTCCGGCGCCGCCCCTCTCGCGCGCTCCGCGCCCTCGGGAGGCGCAGCCGCGGCGGGGGGTGGGGCCCAGCGCCGAAGCGAGCAGTCCCTCGCGGAGCTCTCCCGAACTTGGAGGCTTCGAAATTTGCTCCGGCACCAAAACAGGGGGGCGCGCCCACCGGGGGAAGAGGATCACAGAGTTCGGTGTCGGTGGCAACATTTCGGCCGCCCAGGGAGCCAGAGTATTACCACCATCATCGAGATCGGGATCCTCTCTCCTCGGTTGAGGCACGCCGCCAATTTTGGTGTTGGTGTCAACCTCTGGGCCTGCCACGAACGTTTTTTTCCGCGTCCGATGCAGCTTTTTCCCGTCCTCGGAGGGCCGCCTGCTGGCCAGGCCGGGCACGTCCCTCCACGGGAGGAGCAGTCAAGAGCAGTCAAAACATGGTCCGGGGGCGATTGTTCTGGTATCTTTTCGTGGGTGTGGACTGTTTTGGAGCACTATCTGAGTATTTTTTACTTTTTCGTCCAAGATCCGCCTGCTGGAGGACATGAGCCCAACCGGCAGGCAGAGGCCAGAGGAAGGGGGGGGGGCGGGCCAGCGGGCCCTCGAGGTCTCCCGAGGCCCCCCGGAGGAGCAGCCCGCGAGGCGCCCCTCCTCTTGAGGCACGAGGGCGCGACCGAGGAAGCAGGCCGTCGGGGCGCGCCCGGCGGTCAGGATAGGGGAGGGGGGGGGCGCGCCATGCGCCGTGCCACGGGATGGCAAGGACAGCAAGCATGAACGACAAGGGAGGGGAGGAGGAGGGGAAGGAGGGGAGGAGGAGGAGAGGAGTGAGGAGGAGTAGGAGGAAGGAGAGGAGGAGGCGGAGGAGGAGGGGGAGGAGGAGGAGGTAGGAGTAGGAAGGAGGAGGATGGGAGGAGGAGGAGGAGGAGAGAGGAGGAGGAGGAGGAGAAGGAAGGAAGGAAGGAAGGGAAGGGAAGATGCCGCCCGCCACGGCGGGAGAGTCCGCCCGAGGCCCCGGCCCCTGGGGAGGTCCGAGGCAGCAGCGGCATCGGCACGCAGCGAAGGCCTCACGACGACGGCGACGGCGACGGGGACGGCGACGACGACGACGACGACGACGACGACGACGACGGCGGCGACGACGACGACAGCGACGGCGGCGACGGCGGCGGCGGCGACGACGACGACGGCGACGGCGACGACGACGACAGCGACGGCGGCGACGGCGGCGGCGACGACGACGACGACGACGGCGGCGGCGGCGGCGACGACGACGACGACGACGACGACGGCGGCGGCGACGGCGACGGCGGCGGCGGCGGCGGCGGCGGCGACGGCGACGACGACGTCCGGGGGGCGCGGGGAGGCCGCAGGCTCCGGGTAGACGGCGCGGAGCGCGAGCTGCACTCCTCGGGGCCCAGGGCGCTGGAGGACGCCTGGCCGAGAGAGGGCAGGCCAGGCCGCAGTTCGGGGGCGGAAAAGAGGGGGGTGATGACTAGGGGAAACAAGACACAGACATCCTCGCAATTCGGGGCTCCGAGATGCTGGGCGAGAGGTGGTCTGGCCCGTTTCGCCTGAGACATCCTCGTAGTTCCGGGCTCTGAGAAGATGTGCGCGAGGTTCGGGGGCGGAAAAGAGGGGGGTGATGATTGGGGGGGGTGGATATCATGGCGTGGGCCATGATACTTTCCCAGACTTCATGGCGCCTCTTCTTATTTCGCTACGTCCCTGGCCCCCCCCCGCGGGGCCGCGCACATGCCGCCCGGTCACGATTTGCACCCCCCCCCTCTTGGACACCCCCCTCCTGGCCGCTCCCGAACAGGGGGGGGAGAGCCGTGGTCCCTGCCGTGCTCCGACTTTCTACACAGGTCGTCCGTCTGTCGGGCGATGGGCTTGCCCTTGGGCGGGGTAGGGGGCACGGCCTCCCCGAGCCGCGGCTGGCCGGGGGTGTGGATCCAGGCCCCTCGTCGGTGGGGTCCGAGCAGATGGGGTCGGAGGATGCATCGGCGATGCATCGGCGATGCGGCCCGATGTGGGGCCCAATTTTCTCCACACCGACGTTGCCGATGCATCGCCGACGCCGTCAGCGCATCGCCGATGCAATGTGCATCGGCGATGCATCGCCGATGTATCGGCGATGCGGCCAGATCCTCCGACCCCATCTGCTCGGACCCCATCTAGGAGGCCTCGAATGGAGAGGCGTGAGGAGGAACAGTGCGTGTGTGTGTGTGTGTGTGTGTGGGGGGGAGGAGGACAACCCGGCGGCTGCTGCTGCTCCTCCGTCCCCCTCCTGCTCATGCTCCTCCTCCTGCTCCTCCACCTTGCAGCCTTGATTGTGCGGGCTGGTCCGTCGATGGACTGTAGTCCTCTGCTGCTGCTGCTGCTGCTCCTCCTCTTCCGCCTTTCCCTATTCCCCTCCTTTCCTCTTCCCTCTCTCCCCTTCCCCTGCGGGGAGGAGGATGATGAGGAGGCGGAGGAGGAGGACGCGGGGGAGGATGGGCCGGCAGAGAGGGAGGAGGAGGGGGAGGGGCATAATGGGGGAGTGGGCTGGGGAGAACGATGGGGAGGGTGAGGAGAATGAGCAGCAGCAAAAGAAGGAAGACAGGGTGGAGGAGCAGCATGATGATGATGATGATGATGATGATGATGGTGGTGGTGGTGGTGATGATGATGATGATGATGATGATGATGTGGATGATGATGATGATGATGATGATGATGATGATGATGATGATGAAGATGATGATGATGATGATGATGATGATGATGATGATGATGATGATGATGATGATGATGATGATGATGATTGAATGAATGATGATGATGATGATGATGATGATGATGATGATGATGATGATGATGATGATGATGATGATGATGATGATGATGATGATGATGATGATGATGATGATGATGATGATGATGATGATGATGATTGATGATGATGATGATGATGATGATGAGGAGGAGGAGGAGGAGGAGGAGGAACAGAGGAGCTGAACCGCTTCGCCAAATCAGAGCACTCGCTAGTCAATTAATTGAGGTGGTGATGATGATGAGGATACGAGGAGCAGGAGCATACGGCTAATGTTCTGCCGTTGATGATGGCCTGATGATGATTCCTTTCGCTTCGCGGGGTGCACGTCCGGAGCATGTACAGTCACGTCGTCGCGGGGCCTCTTGGGAGCCTCCTGGGGGCCTCTTGGAGGCCTCTTGGGAGCTTCTTTGGGCCTCTTGGGGGCTTCTTTGGGGCCTCTCCCCCCCTCCTTTTCATACTCCCTCCCCATCTTCCCTTCCAGCGCCGGCTCTAATCATGCGCGTCGCCGTGACCAATTTCCACCTGGCTGGCACTGCGCCGTCGTTCGCCCAGGGGGGGAAATAACATTACGCTCCAGTCGTTGTGTGGCCTTGTGGGGGCTTCTTTGAGGCCTCTTGGAGGCTTCCTGGGGGTTTCTTGGAGGCCTCTAGATTTTTTTTGGGGAGTTCCTTGGGGGCCTCTTGGGGGCCTCTTGGGGGCCTCTCGGGGCTTCTTCGGGGCATCTTGGGTCGTCTTGGGGCGTTTTTGCGCCGTCCCGCCCTTTCGGAGGCCGTCTTGGGGGCCTCTCGCGGCCGCCTTGGGGTTCTCTTGGGGTCCTCTTGGGCCGTCTCACGGTTTTTTTGGACCGCCTTGGGGGCCTCTTTGGGCCGTCTTGGGGCCCTCCTGGGCCGTTTGGGGCCCTCTTTGGAGCCTCTGGGGACCTCTTGGGGACGTCTTGGAGCCGTCTTTGGGCGCTCTTACGCCGTCTGGCCACTTCGGAGGCCACTTTGGAAGCCTCTCGCGGCCGCCTTGGGGCTCTCTTGGGGTCCTCTGGGGCCGTCTTGGGGGCTTCTTGGGCCGTCTTGGAGGTTTTTTTGGCCGTCTCGGGGCCCTCTTGGGCCGTCTTGGGGCCCCCTTGGGGGCCTCTTGGGGGTTTGGGGGCCTTCTTGGGGGCTGCTTGGGCCGTCACGGCCTTCTGAGAGCCGAAAAAAGCGAGAACGTTGAAATTGTCCCAAAACTATAGGGAAATCACAGATTTTGGCCTCGGGAGGCGCTCTCGGGAGTCTTCTTGGGGGCCTCTTGGATTTTTTTTGGGGCCTCATGGGCCCTCTTGGGGCCATCTTGGGCCGTCTTGAGGCCGGCTTGGGCTGTCTTGGGGCCATCTTGGGCCGTCTTGAAACCTTCTTGGGGCCCCAAGAGGCCCAGGAGGCCGAATTTGTTGATTTCTTATGGGTCTTTGTTGGTTTTTAGGCCCACAAAGGGCCCTCCACCTTTGGGTCGACGGAAGTGGCGCGACTCCGGGGGGGGGGGGGGGGGGTTAGGGGGGGAGAGATAACAATGTAGCACAATGCAATATGTATACGCAATCATTGGATGCATTGGATACGTTGCATTAGGGCTTCCGCTCCGCTCCGCGACCTGCCTCCGGCAACGCGCCACTTCCGGACGTGGATTCTACAGGCTTGCGCCACATCCGCCGACCCCTTGTATTCCTTGTGACAGCAGCGCGAAGTCGTCAAGCATCATTAGTCGTTGTCTCTCGTGTTGCAATGTTGGGGCCTCCGTGTCTCCTGGGGGCGGAAGGGTAGATGTTTAGAAGTTCTGGACAGCACCACTGAAGCGCAAGACATGCGAAGGAACCCCTGATCTTTGGGATCTCTTGCGGGGCTTCTCGCAGGACTCTTGGAGGCAGTTTCGAAGTCTCTTGGGGGCCGTTTTGGGGCCGTTTTGGTGCCTCTTGGGTTTTTTTGGGGGCCGCTTGGGGGCGTCTTGGGGGTCTCTTGGGGCCTCTTGGGGCCTTCTGCGGCCGTCTTGGGGCGGAAGGCCAGATTGTCGGTTCGGGCTCCCCTTCTTGGGGCCCTCTTGGGGCCGTCTTGGGGCCCTTTTGGGCCGTCTTTGGAGCCTCCTGGGCTGTCTTAGCGCCCTCTTGGGCCGACTTGGGCGCCTCTTTGGGGCCTCTTGGGCCGTCTTGGGGCGGTCTTGAAGTGCTCTTGGACCGTTGTCTGCGCCGTGAAGGCCGACAAGTCAAATATGACGATTTTCGGCTCGTCGGCCCTTTTGCAGACTGCTCTTGGAGGCCTCTTGGGCTGTCTTGGAGACGTCTTGGCTCGTCTTCGGGCCATCTTGGGCGTCTTGGAGCGCTCGTTGATGATGGCCTGATGATGATACTTATGATGATGCTGATGATGGGGATGATGAGGCTGATTATGATAATGACGACTATGATGATGACGATGCTGATGATGCTGATGATGCTGATGATTACGATGCTGCTGCTGATGATGATGATTAATATGATGATTATTGTGATCATGATGCTGATGATGATAATGATGATGCTGCTGTTGATGATGTCATTGCTGATGAAGATCTGGTGGTGATGATGCTTTTGCTGACGATGAGGGTGATTATGATGATGATGACGAAAATAACGATGCTGATGATGAGGAGGAGGACGATGATGCTGCTGCTGCCGATGATGCTGCTGATGCTGAGGATGATGAATATGATGCTGCTGGTGATGCTGATTATGATGATGGTGATTATCATGATGATGATGCTGCTGATGATGATGATGGAATATGATGATGCTGAGGTTGATTAGTATTCTGTTGATGATATGATGATGATGTGATGATGCTGACGATGCTGATGCTACTGCTGCTGCTGTTGTTGTTGTTGTTGCTGTTGTTGTCGTTGTCGTTGTCGTTGTCGTAGTTGTTGAATTCTCATTTCTGAAGAATAATTATTGTTGATCCCCCCCACCGGTGCATGCGGTTTCTTCTCAATCAAAGTGTGCCCCTCGACGCTCGCACCTTGTTTTTTGACAGGGAAAGTTTTCCTGTTCAAACTGGGCCCCTGGCCCCTGGGTTACAACAACAACGGCTCCCGCCTGAAACTTCCTTACAATTTAGCCAGGACCCCCGCTCTCGCCCGAGACTTCCTCGCATTTTATTCAGGAATCGCGCTCTCGCTTGGGACTTCCTTACAATTTATTCAGGAATCCCTTTCCGGCGCTCTGGAGTCGCGCTCTCGCTGGAGACTTGCTTGCAACTTACTGAAGAATGGCCTTGCGTTGGAATTTCTTGTAATTTGCCCAAGCGCCGCGCTCCCGACACCCAGGCACCCAGGAGTCGCGCCCGTTGTGGCCCCATGTGCATGCCCTTCGTTGCCCCGCTGTCGCCATTTGTGTCCCCCTCACTGTCCTACGTGGCCCAGTTGCTACCCTCAGTGGCCCCATAGTTGCCTTCTGTGGCCCCGCATTATCTGCACTTCGTGGCCCCCGCTCGTTCGCGCTCTTCGTGGCCCCATACGCATTCCCTTCGTGTCCCCGCTGTCGCCCTCGTGGCCCTTCGTGCCCTTCGTTGCTGTCGTTCTCTCTCGCTCTCGCTTCGCTCGTCGTTCGTCGTCGTCGTCGTCGTCGTCGTCGTCGTCGCCGTCGTCTTCGACGTCGTCGTTCGTCGTCGTCGTCGTCGTCGTCGTCGTGGTCGGTCCCCTGTCCGTCCCTCTTGGGGTTGGGTCGACGGTCCGCGGCCGCCCCGCCGATCAGCGCTGCCGCTGGCCAGGCCGACGGTCCGCGGCCGCCCCGCCGCTTGCCGGGGCCCGGCCTGCAGGGAAGAAAGGTATACCCCCCAAAGGGGTTCGATCGAAGACGAAGAGGGCGGGTATCGAGGGTTTGGGAAATACGCGTTATTGGACACTGGAGCATATAAGGGCGAACGGTCTTAAACTTGTTGTTGTTGTTGTTGTTGTTGTTGTTGTTGTTGTTGTTGTTGTTGTTGTTGTTGTTGTTGTTGTTGTTGTTGTTGTTGTTAAAAGGTCATGGCGACGATGATGCGGATAAGAAGGATGATTACGATTATGATGAAGATGACGACGACGAAGCTTAGGATGACGATGGCGGCGATAACGATGTATGACGATGATGACGATTAAGATGTCGATGTTATTGAGGCATGGTCGACGATTGTCGACGATGGCAATTACGACGACGATGACGATTATGGTGATGATGATGGCGATGTTGGTGCTGAGGAGGATGCTGCTGATGATGCTGAGGAGGGTGTCGACAATGGTGATGACGACACTGATGTTGCTGTTGTCAATTTCGATGGCAATGGCGATGACGATGGGGATGTCGGTGATTGTGAACTTGATGATTGTGATGGCGATGATGCTTATGATGATGACGATGATGATGATGTTTATGGTGACGATGATGATGATGAGAAGGAGGAGGAGGAGGCGGGAGACGTTGGCATATGGCATTGGGGGGAGATGGAGGTGGAGCAGGTGGAGGAAGATGTATGACGCAGATGGCCACCCCGCCGAGGACCGGGACCGTGGCGGCTCACGGTCGGGAGGCGGCGGCGGAGGCGGAGGCGGCCTCCGCTGCGCTCCCGCCCTCGCTGCTCTCCTCCAGCTGCCGCTGCCGCCTGCTCCTTTCAGGAGGGAAAGAAACACACAGACACAATTAATCGTCGATTCCCCCAAAATATGGGAAAACAGGGGAAGTGGGGGGGAAGACGAAGACCCAGAAAATATTGAAAAATATGGGGAAGCTTTTTATTCGTGCGTATTTATTTGTGTGTCTTGGGGCCCCCTCATCCTTCTCCTCCCTGCTTCTGACTCTGCAGCGGATCCGGCTCCTCTTCTGCTGGAGGAGAAGAAGGTGGAGGAAGATGATGCTGAGGCCAAGGAGGAGGCGGAGGAGCAGGAGGAGGAAAATGAGGAGAAGGAGGAGGAGGAGGAGCTCGGTTGTTCTCCCGTGCCCCTGGCGTCTGCACCCCTCTCGCTCTCCTGCCCATCCTGTATCATATTCTGCACACTCTCCTCTTGCTCCTCTGAATACTTGGAGAGGCACGGGGAGGGTAGAGGCGTATGCCTGGGCTTTACGCGCGATGAGGACCGTCCCTGAGACTTAGCGTTGGAGGAAGAAAGCAGCCACTTTTCGCGAGTGGTTCTGAACCAAGCCGAGCTCGATGCGAAACAAAACGTTTTCTCGGGCCTTGCTCTCCCTGGAGGGTTAGCTCTCTCGAGCTCCGGACCCCGCCGTGCTTGACATCTAAAGCCCCCCTCTGCCGAACGATGAGGACTCCGTTGCTGCTGCGTCTTGCAGTCGGTGAGCGCCCTCTGTCGGACGGACATGCCGTCGCCAGCACGAAACGGGCTTCCGGCGGCTGCTCGGCCGCGGGGCGGCCCGTCCCGTGTGAGCATCGCGGCGAGTGCCGCCCGCGAGTCCCGCTCTCCGCTCCTGCTCCTCCTCCTCCTCCTCCTCGCCCTCCTCCTCCTCGCCCTCCTCCTCCTGCCGCCTCACTCCTCACGGCTGGGCGAGCACGCAGTCGGGCGAGCGTGGTCCCTCAGGCTGCAGCAGAGCTTCGTGCTCGGGGAGGGGGAAGGCCGGGAGGTCTCGGAAAGGGCCCCGGTGCGGCCTCCAGAGGCTCCAAAAGGTTGCCCAGGCTGGCTCACGTCTGCCAAGATGGCCCCGTGAGTGCCATAGACGCGGTCCCAGGGTGGCCGCCAGGCGAGGGAGGCTGCTGGGGGTGAGAGCCGACGAGGAGGAGCAGGACGAGAAGAGCGAGGAGGCAGGACCGGAGACAACGCAGGATGCATCCGCAGTGCTGGCAATACACCGCTCCGTGCCACGGTCCCTCCTCCTGACAGTGCCGTTTTTAATACATGCTCCGCGTGCGGATCATGTATAAGAAATGCAGGGATTTAGTATTAAAAACAACGATGAGTTCATGCATTCATTTATTCATAAATTAAGAATGTATCAAACATCCACTTTTTACAAATTCTATGTATTGAAAGCTGCCCTGGAATCCCTGCAGGTGCTCCTGTGAAGCGCCCGCGTGGGGTGGCGAGGGCTGGCGGGCATGCCGCTCGGGCGCGGCACCGTTCTTGGAATGATCTGCCCTCCGTACCTCGAGCTGGGAGAGGCGCAGAGAGGCAGGAGGAGGCGGGTCAAGGAAGCGTCCAGCGAGATCACCGCTTCGAGAGGGATCTCCTGCGCAATCCGGAGGTCTGATCATGCAGCCTACGGACGTCTCACGCGAGAGGTGAACATCGTGAGGAAGGCAACAGCGAGAGCGTGGTTCCTGGGTGTCGAGTGCCCGGCGTCCGAATACACTTCGAGGAAATTCCAGGCGAGAGCGCGATTCTTGCATAACTCGTGAGGAAGTCAAGCGCGGGAGTGCGATTTTGGAATCAACTGTGAGGATCAGGCGGGAGCCGTTGTAGTAGTAGTAGTAGTAGTAGTAGTAGTAGTAGTAGTAGTAGTAGTAGTAGCAGCAGTAGCAGTAGCAGTAGTAGCAGTAGTAGTAGTAGTAGTAGTAGTAGTAGTAGTAGTTGTTGTTGTTGTTGTTGTTGTTGTTGGCCGTGAGCCAAAGACACAGTCTGGTGACACTTCTCTTTCCCTGGTAAGCACCAGGGTGCGAGCCCCGAGGGGAGCACTTCAATTGAAACATGCAATGGTTACCGGAGGGGGGGTTCAACACAACTTATTGCTTACACTTAAGAGTTCAAGAGCAACAACAAAACAACGACAACAACATCAACACCAACAGCAACAGCAACAGCAACAGCAACAGCAACAGCAATAGCAATAGCAACAGCAACAGCAACAACAACGACAACGGCAACGACAACGCTCCGCACCGCAGAAGCCCATTCCAGCCACGCAATATTACCCAGGGACAGTGAAGGGCCGTTTGGCGCCCTCAACCTGATCGTTCGAGGTCACCCGACATGGGACTCTGACACACGCCTGGCACTGTCAGAGCCTCAGCGGACTCTCAGGGGTCGGGGGGACTTTCGCTCACAGGGCGCGTTCCACCACTCGCAAAGCGCCTACGCGCACACGTCCGAAAAACGCCTGTCTGCTCCGACGCCATCTATCGTAGGCCCCCCGCGGCGGATCCCCGGGCCACTTGCGAGTAGCTACTCTGCGAGCAGTGGCACGCGCCCGCCTATCCGCGCTCTTGCTCGTGCTTGTGCGCGGCCTCTCGCTCGCTCCTCGCCGCGCCGCTGGGGCGCAGGAGAGAGGGGGGGACGAGCGCGGGGCCGAGACGCCCGGCTATACACATCCCCAGGCCCAGCGCCGCCCCCGGAGCTGCCGCCCGTGCCCGTGCAGACGGTGGCCGACCGCATGGCGAAGCTCCGTGAGCAGGAGGAGACCCCCAGGTGATCAGGGTGGGGTTCGCTTCGTTCGGGACCTCCCGAGCGAAGTGAACCCCCCCCCTCCCCCTCAGAAATCGTGGGGGGCAGGGGTAGGGTTCGCATGTGGCCCCCCAGTTCCTTCGATCGCACCGACCGTTGCCGACAGGAACCTCCTCGCCCTCAGGCTCGGGCGGGCGGTCATGTGGGTGGCCCAATTTGTCACCACCCACCAAACCACCCCAACCCAACCCGAAGGCCCCAATTTGCCCTCCATTTCCAGTGTGGGGGGGGTCGGGGAACATTGAAAAGCCACATGGAACCCGTACCCCCCCCCAACCGGGAATTTGGGTGAAATTCGGATCTTCGGGTCGGGTTGGGGTGGTTTGGTAGGTAGTCACAGAATGCCCGGGCGAGGACGGCGAGGATGAGATCGAGCGGAGCCGAGTGCGAAGCGGTGCTGGCCATCAGGGCGCGACGAGGCCGATGATGACGGCGGCGGTGTGTTGCGATCGTGCGCGCGTGTGTTCGACCTGTTGCAGGTGCACGTGCTGCAGGTGAAACATGTGTTCGCGTGCACTGGATGATGGGTGTATAGGGTGCATTTATGTATATGTATGTGTTCATGCATGTGTCTGGTGGGTTGCGGCCCACTCTGCGGCCGTGCCTCTGGGGCCTCCAGGATGTCTCGGGGGAGCCTCCGAGGGTGTCTTCGGGAGGCCTCATGGAGGGTCCCCGGGAGCTCTTCGGGGTAGTCTTGGGTGGGGAAGCTCTTAGGCACGTGGCCTGGCGGACTGTTTGAGGCTGAGCTTGTTGAGCGACTTGTGGCTTCTCAGCAGTTTTGGCCCTCGGCAGACTCACGCGCCACATCGCGGTCCAGCCCTGAAGGGCCCAGAAAGTTCAGCAGCAAGTCGGGGGTCTTCCAGAATTTGCACTTTTCTGGGAAGTTCACACTTGGATGAGCCTCAAGGCACGGTGGTACACCCTAGGCGATGCTTAAGAAAACCCAAGTTTTCGGCCAGAGTCTCGTTCATTCTTAATGTTTCAATGTAAATCCTGAGATTTGAATAGACGTTCTGGGTTTTTATTCAAACTCTGAGACTATGAATTTCTTAACCCATGATCTCTTAAGCATTTCGCAGGGTGTAGATATTCATTTACATGTACTCGTGCATGCGTACGTGTCTGTGTGTATGTGCATGCCTCTCTCCGCCCCGTCGCCGCGCGTGAGGCCGGGGTCGCTGGCAGTGCGCGTGCAGCTGTGTATGCGTATGGGCATGGAGCTGCGTATGTGCAGGCAGCTATGGAAGAGGAGGAGGAGGAAGAGGAGGAGGAGGAGGAGGACGACTGATTCATGTGTAATGTCACTCTTGTGTATATGTGTATGCGGTCGTGGCTGCTCCTGCGTGACGCCTGCCTTGCCTTGGGATGGTTCTGGTCGAGCCTGCCTTGGCCACGGTCTGTCGCTTCTTCACTTTTCCACGACTGGGCGTGCGGGATTCTTTGTCTCTTGCGACCAGGTGTGCTCCCCAAGTCTCAATAGTTTAATCGCTTCCAGGTTCATCGGCCGTGGCATCTATACCTCTCGATTCGTGTCTCATTGGGCTGTTGACGAGAAAGGCGTGTGTGTGTACATATGCACGAGCCATGTCGCGTGGTCCCCTATCCTTGCTGCGTGAGGGTCCGCGCGCCTCCACTCGACCTTTGCCTCACTTTGGCTGCGCTGATGCGCGCATGGCCGTGACGCCAAAAAGCGTGTGTGTGTATGTGTGTAGGTGCCAAGGGAGACTTATCAAACTGGTTGGTTTGTTCATGATACCTAGGGAGACGGGGAGGAACGGGGGAGAAATCAAGAGAGGGAGGATGTGAGAGTAGGCGTCGGGCGGGATGAGAGAAAGAGGGGGGTCAGGGAAGACGGAGCGAGGAGAGTCCGAGGGTATCCTTTGTTGTAATCCCGCTCCGGCACCGCTCCAGGAGGCCCAGAAGGCACGAGTGGCGGCGGCGGACAGTGCGGAGCGCGCGGAGATAGCGCGGCTCATGGAGACGCTGACGCCCAAGCAGGTGAGGGCTGTGCCAGCTCTCTTCAGGGTAGTTTCTCGGTCGTATTCTCGAGGATGGTTATACATTACATGGCTGGGGGCCAGTCCGTGCACTTCCCGCCGTGCATAGCGATGTAGGAGTGATCTTGCAGAGGGCCTGCAATCGCTTCCACGATGATCGAACATGTCTTCGCGCTGCCCATGCCATGGCACTGTTACCGTCGTGCTGTTCGAGCTGATCTTTCTGTTGGTCGGGCGACGAAATGTATACATATCCACTGCTCCCTGACCATGCCCATCTTGAACCCAGGAGCTGTGTATGCGCCCTCCTGGCCAAGCCAGGAGGGCGTGGCGTATACACCGCTGCGGGGTTGAGGATGGGCCTGGCCAGGGAGCAGTGGATATGTATAGATTCCGTCGCCCTATGTTGGGCTGCTGACGGGGTCTCCTCGGCGCCGCGACCGCGCTCGACTCCGGCTGCCGGCCTGCAGCGCATCCCGGAGATGTGCCTTGTGGTCCTGCCCGGTGGGCGAGCCTCGACGGGCGGCGGCCGAACTTGCTCACCGGTTTAACGGGCGAAGAACGGTATAAAATAATTTTTTTCGCCGTCGGGGACACCTTCCCCAGGGCGGCTGGAAAGTTTATACCCTTAACGGGCGAAGAACGGTATAAGATAAACTTTTTCGCCGTCGGGGACACCTGCCCCTGGGCGGCTGGAACGTTTATGCCCTTACGGTGCCACCGTAGGGGTATAAGCTTTCCAGGCGCCCAGGGGCAGGTGTCCCCGACGGCGAAGAAGGTTATTTTATACCGTTCTTCGCCCGTGAACTGGTGGCGTGCTGAGAGGTGCAGATGGGGAAACGTCACCACCCACCAGACCACCCCAGCCCAACCCGAAGGCTCGGATTCACCCTCGATTTCCAGTGGGGGGGGGTCGGGAAACATCGACAAAAAACACATGTGGAACCCTTACCCCCCCCCCCCACCCGAAGTTCGGGTCTTCGGGTTGGGTTGGGGTGGTCTGGTAGGTAGTCAAAAACGGGGCACAATCTGGTTCAGTCATCCAATCGTCTAAGCGTGGCAATTGTTCATCTGGCGTTGTTCGTGGTTGAATCGTCGGACGTCGTCTGAATGTCTTCCCGCGGAGCAGCGGGCTCGGCTGGCCTTGTTCCGACGAGGGGATCGGCGGAAGGCCCAACGAGCGTCTCATTTGGGTCGCACCGGACGGAAGAAATGATGGGGGGAGGGTGTAAAACGACGCGAAGATCGGGACAAAATCGGATCGGGATAACTCGAAATCTCTGAGAATCGGCGGGTTTGGAGGATGTATTGGGCGCCGCGGCCGCTCCAGAGCGTTCCGGAACGCTCTGAGAGCGCTCCGGAACGCTCTGGAGCGATTTATCCCGATCCTAGCCCTGTTTTAGGGTGGCGGGAGTGCCATGGGGGTGGGAGGCATGGGAGGCAGGGGGTGGGCCCGGGGGCGTGCACACTGTGGAGTGCAGCCCGCGCTTCCGCCTCGTCAAACTTGCTCCCCAGCCCGCCCTTCCATCCAACAGCTACGGGACGACGTGGCACGACGGAGTGGTCTCGGCGTCACCCCAACATACTTCTACTACATGTGCGTCGCCCCTCCAGGGGCGACGCGCGCACCGAGAAATCTTATAGTAAATGCGTTGTGGCGGGTGCTTTCTGGCCACACCGCTCGGGAAATGATATACTGCAAGATGGGTATACCATATGTTCGGGTCGGACACGCGCCTCCAGGGAGAACATATAGTACTAATATGTCTTTGTGCGTCACATGGTCAGCCCATGCGCAACGGCACCAGCGTTTCTTTCTTCGTCACACCTGTTCTTCCAGTTCCTGTCGGCATCCCTCATTGCAGCTCATGCAATCAAAGACTGGTGGTGCTGCGTCCGACGCGAGTTGGCAACATATGGCACACAAACATTAATTTGGAGCCAAGCCCGTCATTTGAGTCAAGTAGGTCAGAGACGCAGTAAAACCCCGTTTGTGAAGGCGCAGGCGTTTCTGAGTGGGCTGTCGAGGGGAGGAGCTGATCATGACAAGTTTTGCAGGCCATCGTGTGTTTGTTTGTTTGTGGGCACGTGTATTTGTTCTACCTCCTCGGGGGCGGCCTTTGAGGTGTCCGCGCCTCCATTGCTGGCCTTCGGCCTCCTTGTCCTTGCCACGCCATTCTGACAGTCGTCTGGCCATGGCATCGCTGTAGCTTCCCGCTGCGCCCCCCTTTGCCTTCTCGGTCGTGTCGTTTCCATGCCGGTCGGCTCTCTGCCTACCTCGTCAGACCCCCCATCACCCATGCTAAAACAGGGCTAGGATCGGGATAAATCGCTCCAGAGCGTTTTGGAGCGCTCTCAGAGCGTTCCGGAACGCTCTTGGAGCGGCCGCGGCGCCCAATACATCCTCCAAACCCGCCGATTCTCAGAGATTCCGAGTTATCCCGATCCGATTTTGTCCCGATCTTCGCGTCGTTTTACATGCCGGGATGACTTATCGCCGGCTGCCGGCGCTGCTCGTTCCAAGCGGCTTGAGGGCTCGGCCTTGGGACGCGCGCGCGCTCGCGCCCGCGCGTCTCCGACCTTTGCCACGCCAAGACGTATGTGTGCTTGCAGGCACACGACCTCCGGTCGGCCCCTTGTTTCTTCTCCGCACGGAGGTTTGCAGTTCCCCTGACTTAGCCCTGGCTTTTTCCCCCTCCTCCCTCCTCCTCCCTCCTCCTCCTCCCTCCTCCTCCCTCCTCCTCCCTCCTCCTCCTTCTCCCTCCTCCTCCCTCCTCCTCCCTCCTCCTCCCTGCTCCTCCCTCCTCCTCCCTCCACACCTTTCGGTATTTTTACGGCTGTACGGTCCCTCACAGAGCCACTCGCAGCCGCGCCCTGTTTCACGGAGGCGACGGTAACATCCAGTTCGCAGGAGTTTGATGTGCCCTTTTTCTAATCCTAGTCGCCCTGCCTGGCTTACGCTGTTTGGTGCGCGAGCGTGCTTGTTTGTGCCGTCGCTGTCTTAGAGCCAGTTCACTCTCCGCCATACCAGGGGCAAACGCTTGTACATGTATACGCGAGGGGGGATGCATATACATCATATACACATAGTGCATAAACACATATATATATATATATATATATGTATTCATATTTTCATACATATATACACATATAGATATACATATGTGTATGTCGAAGACGCCTACGGCGAATCACCGCCGCCACCTGCCTTATTGGAAGCGCCTATGTCGCCGAACGTTGAGGCCAGACCTGCCAAGCTATCGGACCATGTGTTCCCCGAATCGGTTTGGAAAGCCTTCGGGGAACACGTGGGCATCTTGAAGGTCCTCTTCGCGGTCTGGAGGCTATTTTGACCCTTTCGGGCCTTCTTGGAGGACGTATTGGAGGGCTCTTGGGCCGTCTTGGAGACCATCTTGGGCGTCTTGGAGGCCTCTTGGGCCGTCTTGGGGGCCTCTTGGGCCCGGCTTGGGCGATCTTTGGGCTATCTTTGGGGGTACTTGGGCCGTCTCGGGCCGTCGGAAGGCCTAACAAAAAGCAAGTGCCACAATCCTTCGAAAGCTCATGAGAGTTCAATGATTTTGGCCTTTGCAGGTCAAAATCCATCGAAAACCTACGGGAAATTAGTGTTTTTGGCCTTTCTGGCCTTCCTGGAGGCTCTCTTGGAGGCCTCTTGGGCCGTCTTGGGCCAGTTTCGAGCCAGCTTCGGCCATCTTGGTGGGTTCCTGGCACGTCTGACGCCGTCGGGAGCCGTCTTGGGGGCCTCTCTGAACCGACATGGGGTCCTCTTGGGGCGCTCCGGGGCGGTCTTGGAGGCTATCTTGGGCGTCTTGGAGGTCTCTTGGGTCTCTTGGGGCCCTCTAGGGGCCGTCTTGGGGGTCCTTGTGCCATCAAGGGGCTCTCTTGGAGGCCTCTTGGGCGATCTTGGGGCGATCTTGGGAGCCTCTTGGGCCGTCTTGATCCGTCAAAAACCTAAGGACAATCAATGATTTTGGTCTCTTCGGGCCCTCCTGGAGCACCTCTCGGAGGCCTCTTGGGCTGAGTTGAGGCCTTTTGGGCCGTCTTGGGCCATCTTGAGACTATCTTACGCCATCTTTGGTACATCTTGGGCCGTCTTGGAGGCATCTTGGGGCCATCTTAGCCGTCTTGGAGGCCATCTTGGCCGTCTTGGATGCATCTTGGAGGCCATCTTGGGCCGTCTTGGAGCCGTCTGGATCAGGAAAAACCCTTTGGAACCGGGTCGTGGTACATTTTCGGCATCCTTTCGGGTGGCCGGCGGGACGCGCCAGTTCTCTGGGAAAAAGATCCAAAACCAAAGCCGAGAGGATTTAGCACGCCAGGCACCCCTCTTGCAAGCAACAAGGGGCGGCGGATCGAAGACGCATACGGCGAATCACCGCCGCCCCCTGCCTTTTTGGAAGCGCCTATGTGGCCGAACGTTGAGTCCAGGTCTGCCAAGCTGTTGGACCATGTGTTCCCCGAATCGGTTTGGAAAGCCTTCGGGGAACACGTGGGCATCTTAAAGGTCCTCTTGACCGTCTGGAGGCCATTTTGACCCCTTCGGGCCTTCTTGGAGGACGTCTTGGAGGGCTCTTGGGCCGTCTTGGAGGATGTCTTGAGCGTCTTGGAGGCCTCTTGGGGTCGTCTTCGGGGCCTCTTGGGGTCGTCTTGGGCCTCTTGGGTGATCTTTGGGGGCACTTGGGCAGTCTCGGGCCGTCGGAAGGCCTAACAAAAAGCAAATGCCACAATCCTTCGAAAGCTCATGAGAATTCAATGATTTTGGTCTTTGCAGGCCTTCCTGGAGGCCCTCTTGGAGGCCTCTTGGGCCGTCTTGGGCCATCTTATGGCTATCTTCGGCCGTCTTGGTGGGCTCCTGTCCCGTCTGACGCCGTCGGAAGCCGTTTGGGGGGCCTCTCTGGGCCGACTTGGGGCCCTCTTGGGGTGCTCCATGGCCATCTTGGAGGCCATATTGGGCGCCTTAAAGGTCTCCTGGGCCGTCTT